TGACCAAAATACCCCAATCGGTAGTGGATGTTTCCAGCCATCTGCAGCGGCTGTACTTACACAATGATGGCACCAAGCTAGTAATGCTCAACAATCTGAAAAAGATGACAAATCTGATCGAGCTGGAGCTTGTGCGTTGTGATCTGGAACGCATCCCACATGCAATCTTCAGCCTCACAAATCTGCAAGAGCTTGATCTGAAAGAGAATAATATTCGCTCAATAGAAGAGATTATCAGCTTCCAGCATCTTCGAAAACTCAACTGCCTCAAACTTTGGTACAATGGCATCATGTATATCCCAGAGCATATCAAAAAGCTTGGCAGCCTAGAGCGCCTCTACTTCAGCCACAACAAGATCGAGATATTGCCTTCGCACCTGTTCTTGTGCAACAAGCTGCGCTACCTGGACTTGTCCAACAATGACATCCGATTCATCCCTCCAGAAATTGGAGTCCTTCAGAGTCTACAGTATTTCTCTGTCAACTGCAACAAAATTGAAAATCTACCAGACGAGCTCTTCTTTTGCAAAAAGCTCAAAACGCTGAAGCTTGGCAAGAACTCACTGTCCACACTCTCACCAAAAATTTCCTACCTAGTTTTACTGACACACTTGGAGCTCAAAGGCAACCACTTTGAGGTCCTGCCACAAGAGCTTCGTTACTGTCGTGCTTTGAAGCGCAGTGGCCTTATAGTGGAAGAAGTACTGTTTGAAACTTTGCCTTCAGATGTTAGGGACCAAATGAAGGCTGAATGAGATGTTATATTGTAGCCACAGTGCCTGATGTTTATTCTGTCCACAAAATTTTGTTTTGTATTAAGGCATTACCTTACCAAGTATTACACTCCTGTTAAAAAGGAAATATTACTTATTCATATTTTGTCACATAGAATGTACTCTGCCTCTCACCCAGTGTCAGCACCACCTACGACCCTTGACAGAATAAGCAATATAGCAGGCAATTAGTTTGGCTTAGTAGGAGGAAACAAGAAGCCTGGCTCTGTCCAAAGTATGCACCTCTGAAGCTAACTAATTAACACTTGTAGCTAGATTGTTTAATCAAATCAAATCAAATTTTATTTGTATAGCACCAAATCACAACAAAAGTCATCTCAGGACACTTTACAAAGTAAGGTCTAGACCTTACTGTTATCAATATTATTACATAGGGAAAACCCAACAAATCCCCCTTGAGCAAGCACTTGGCGACAGTGGGGAGGAAAAACTCCCTTTAACGGAAGAAAAGAGCAGAGCAGGAGGGGAGGGGAGGGGAAAGAAACTCAGAGCATCATGGGGCCCCCAGCAGCCTAGGCCTATAGCAGCATAACTAAGGGAAGGCTCAGGGTCACCTGATCCAGCCCTAACTATAAGCTTTATCAAAAAGGAACGTCTTAAGTCTAATCTTAAAGGTAGAGAGGGTGTCCGCCTCCTGAACTGAGACTGGGAGTTGGTTCCATAGGAGAGGAGCTTGATAGCTAAAGGCTCTGCCTCCCATTCTACTTCTGTGGACTCTAGGAACCACAAGTAAACCTGCACTCTGAGAGTGAAGTGCTCTGTTAGGATGATAAGGCTCTAATCCATACAAGGACAAGTTGTGGTTGTATGGGGAGATAGATGTTGGACTATGTTTGGCCTGGTGTATTGGGTCCCTGCAGTCACTTAATTAGTGAGCTTCTAAGTAGTACTTAAAGTTGCTACTAGGCAGATTTTTTTTTTAAGGCTAGCTGTTTCCCCCTGTTTATGCTTATCTTTTTTAAGAAAAGTGTCTGCTACCGGTAGGATTGTACTTAGCATACAGGCACTATATAAATCTTGTCATATAACTCTCTTCAAGGATGCGAATAAGCTAACTTTGTCATTGCTACATAAAATAATTTGATTACTGAACATAAATCTAAACTGAAGACCTCACTTTGGTTTATACTAGTAGTTAAATTTTGTATTGTAAAATATTTTTTCGTGCCCTAATAAAATCTTTTAATTCTTCTAGAAACTGTGAGGTAATATGGACTGTAGCAGGGATATGGCAAAAAAAAAAAAACAACAACAAAGGAAATATCTTAGTAAAATCAGTGGTATACCTTTGTTGAACAATTTTGTATTGTAAAAATATGCCATTGTAGAGTGCATTAAACCTAAAGGACTATGTCATGCTGCTGTGTGGGTTTTTTTCCTGACATTTGAAATGTGCAAAGATGCATGCAGCCTATTAAAAAAATGCATGCTTAAAAACTGTATTTTTATGTTATTTGCTTTAACTTATGCTTACAAAGGTTCTGCTCCATTACTTGATCCCTGAAAGGGTAACTGCACATTGCATTTACACCTATTGTGTTCTATTTGTACAGTAATTGTGTTGTGGGTTAAGATATTACTTGCTTGCTGGTGAGGATTATTGAGGCAAAGGAGGGCAGCAATGGAAAAATAAAGTTCTAACAAATAATGCAAGACGGTAACACACATTAGTGCAGTGGCTGTAAACTCTCGTGATTGTGCTTTTTATATTGTTTCTTCTCTATGTTGTTTCTTTTACTCGCCCAATTTTAGATACGCCTCCAGTGTATACCCCCAGCAAGACTTATTACATATACAGTATGTACTGTATTTGTACTATGAGTCAGAGCCCGTCCACAAGAAAGTACCATCAGATCCAACATATCCAGGCTGAGATCATCAGAGCCCGCTGGCCTGGCAATGGAGTCTCATGACAGCAAAGAAGCAAAAATGGGGCTGCAGAGCAGGAGTACACAAATGGCTGAGGAAAAGCTCCCTAGGAACCTCCTACCTAGCAAATGCCCACCCACTTCCCAATAAGATGGATGACTTTAGGCTGGATTTTGATGCTACAGAGAAATGGGATTGCTTCTTAGCAATAATAACTGAGACATGGCTTAACGCAAACACCTATGCTAGGATTATCTTCATGAGGTGCATTTGGACCAAACACTTCTAGGGACTACCCCACTGAGGAGCTTCCCCAAAAACTACACACCTTTATGGGTTTTTTTTAGCCCCTTTACCATCACCTGGTACTGGCTCAACTTGACTCACCTTATTTGGTTTTCCATCAGTTAAATGTTGGGGATAGTACCTGGTACCTCCCACTATTTTTGGTATCACCTTCGTCAAAGTTGCAAGTGAGCTGAGGTGATACCAAACAGTAATGTGTAAACACTGCGGATTGGTCAGAGTAATCAATTCATCAATGTGTGAGATGTCCTGGAACAATGAAAGCTCAATTTTTAAAAGCAGCATGCTAACTGTTACTATACTGTAGTTACTGCACTAACTACTTACCCTATATTTATAATTACTTAAACCATACAGATTACATGGCAGTCCACAAAAACACACAGTGGTCAAATGAGGAAATGCAAATGTTTCTGTGTTTGGTAGCCAGTGAAAAAGTCCAGCGAGAGCTGGATGGGGCAACACATAATGAGAGGATATACCAGAAAGTCTCTCAACTGTTGGCCACTCATGGCCAAACACTCCTTTTTGTTTCAGCTGTCTTTTTTTCCTTGCTTCTTCAGCTGCTTCTGAAACAAAATCTGTCTCTCTGCTGTGACAAACAGCCACATACCCAAAATCAAGAAAAGCATACTTTCAGTGTCCTCCATTGTAACTGTGTTGGTTGCTGACGAAGCCATGGCAGAGTAATGCAGTGTCGCTATGACAGCCAGCTACAAAGAGAGGGGGCCATCTGCAGGGAGGAGGTCCAGAGGATTATACAGTGGTCTGCATCAAACAACCTGGACCTGAATATAAACAAGACAAAAGAAATGGTTGTGAACTTTAGGGGTAATAGGAAACAGCAGCCAGTGCTGCTTACAGTTAATGGTTAGCCAGTGGAGAGTTTCTTCCTTTAAATCTTGGCACCCACATATCTGAGAATGCTACACAGACTAAAACATCCCTGTTAAAAAAAACAAAACAAAACAGTTACTGGCATATTTTTATAGATGTGCAATAGAGAGCTTGGTCACATATGCAATTAAGATAAGATGAACCTTTATTAGTTCCACGATGGGGATATTCACACCATTACAGCAGCAGAGATAGAAACAAGGTGTTAAGAATCAAAAGTAACAGACAAGGTATCATCCATATAAACAACGTAGCTATGATATTACAAAGTAAGACTGACAAGGTAAATTACATAGGACCCTAAATTAATGTACAAATAATATAACTAACTATAAATGACTGTGATGAGGTCCAGATAAAGGAAAGGGGTCTCGGTTGGCATCTGACTCCCCTCCCTGTTGTACAGCACACAGCCACAGTGGGAGGCTCTTGAGTTCTTCTAGTGAAAAGGTTTCATGTAAGAACAAGAGAAGTTGTAATAAAAGTTTAAATGACACCCTTTGCATGTTTTCAAAGGTTTGCTGTAAATCTCATTAGCCCCTGGTGTTAAATAAAACTAAGTGTGCAACCTCAGGCGGGGTATATTCTGGCCAGCTGTTGCCAGTTGTTGGTCATGGTGACAGAATCAGCCTATGTGATTGTGTGAATGTGAACGTCAGACAGAAAAGGCTGCAGCTGGAGGAGCTGGTGCAGTCAGCTGTGGGCTGTGTCGTCAGTCCGCGGCAGAGGACCGGACCATGTGAACCGGAGTGGGGGTAGTCAGCTGAGCTGCCTGCATCCCGGTCCGGTTAGCAGGCCCACAGTGGAACTGAGAACAGCGAAACATGGCCTGTAAGAAGACGTGTTTGTCGGTACTGGTGGCAGCCACATAACTGGATCAGATCTCCCGAAGGTACGTAGCCTGTGCCTTTTAGTGATGGTCCTCAAATAAGTTATTAAACGTCTACAAATGGCCCTGCAGTGTTAGCGGGCTACAGTTTAGTCAGAATCAGTGGGTCTGGGGAGAGCGTTGTCATACAGCGGCACTGAACATGCAGTTTTAACGTTATCTGAGCGGGTCGTCATTCTCTTCAACGGAGCCCAGGTTTCAGTGGTGCGTTTAAAGGCTTCACGGACATCAGGCACACCTCTTGTTCTGTGTTCATGGACGCGTCTTGCAGCAGGAGCCGGTCTCAGCCTGCTCTGCAGTCGCCTTGAAACCAGCGACCCTCAGGCCCTCGGCACGCACACGACAGAAATTTGGCGCATTGGCAAATAAATGATTTCCTTATAATCTAATGTTTCTAAATACCTGACATGGGAAACGCTGTGATGTGTAGACCGAACTTTATGCTATTTGCAGCCTGCGTGTCCGTGAGATGTGCATGTTTGTAAACTGATGTGCAGTAGATTATGCTCGTTAGACAAAGAAAAGCAGGCTGCGTATAAACAGTCATAAAAATACGTGTGTTGATTCAGCGTTCATTTGGTCTTCAGTGTGCTGAATTTATGCTGCACATGGCGCGCACCGTCTCCACCGACAGCTTATGTGCATGTTAGTCCTAGTTCAAGGGTAGCTTCCTTTCCTAAGCCATGTCTGTCAAGGCTGCTATTTCCCAGCCCAGAAATGTAACCTTGTCTGAAATTGGAGGACACAACCGGTGCGTTGTTTCCAGTTCACAGTAGCTCAGAATCGATTGCGCACTGATTCCCCAGTCAGCTGGTCAGGAAATATAAACCCTATCAGGTTTGAAATGCACACGATGACTAAGAAAAGAGGCACACCTTTATAATATCTGCAATACAATGCAGTAAATTAACAGTAAATTCTAACTTGGTAAACTGTTCTGTTCATGTTGTGACAACCAGTTCAGTCGTTCTGTGCATGTACATTTTGAGGCTGTACTTTGTGTTGAAATATGACTAAAATCCAATCCAATTACACATCACAATTTAAAGTGATCGATTAAAACACCACCACAAAGTAGCTACAGTAATTAATACTATCTGTCACACTTGGTCTCACATAAACTGTACCAAAGAACACGGCACTGCATGGTGTATGTAAATAGGGGATTATGACCAGGGAAATACTCTGGTTCTGTCAGCAACCTAAATAAGCTCTTCATCACCACATTGACAAATGCAGTATTATGACACAAACACTGAGATATTTACCAATGAACTGGAACATGTTTTGCAGTTGTCCATCATGCGTAATAGTGAAAAGTCACAGCTGGCACTGTAAACTCAGCTATTATGCCATAGTTGGCAGAGTTTTTAATGACGTTTATCACGTTTTGGCCCATCCAAGGGCAAATTCCTGGTGGTGACATGTATATTTTACATTTTGCCGGTGCTAAAGCCTACAGAATGTGTGAGATCAAGGCGGCCGTTCCATAAACAAACCTTCCGTTTCAAGGATCTAATGGACATTAATAAACATGTGGAATAATTTAGCATTATGTCTGTTCTTATTCCCTGTTGCAGGAATGTTCACTCTCACAGAAGTGGCCTCCCTGAACGACATCCAGCCGACTTATCGAATACTGAAACCATGGTGGGATGTCTTCATGGATTATCTTGGTATTGTCATGCTGATGTTGGCCATATTTTCTGGAACCATGCAGTTGACCAAAGACCAAGTGGTTTGTCTACCAATTGTGGAACAAACTCGAGAGGGACTCCAGAGCTTCTTGGACCCCCATCCAGCAGAAACAGCTGATGGGTTCTGGAACAAAGAAGGCTCCGTCGGGGAGCAAGCCGCTCCACTGATGGCTAAAAGGCCACCTGATAGCACTGTACCTACAGTTCACTTCACACAGCCAGCCACCTTTGAGCAGCCCCAGCCTAAAGATGTCAGGACCAAGCTGGATTTTCAGCAGTATGTTTTTATCAACCAGATGTGCTACCATGTTGCCCTTCCTTGGTATTCCAAATATTTCCCATACCTCGCTCTAATCCACACTATTGTATTAATGGTCAGTAGTAACTTCTGGTTCAAGTATCCAAAGACAAGTTCCAAAATAGAACATTTTGTTTCCATACTTGGAAAATGTTTTGAATCACCTTGGACTACTAAAGCATTGTCTGAGACTGCTTGTGAAGACTCGGAGGAGAACAAGCAGAGACTGGCTGGTGCCACCTCCCTCCTGAAACAACTGTCCACAAGCAGCGAGGAGGGGAGTCCAAGGCAATCTGCCCCAGTGCCGACTAAAACTGGGGTCACATTTTCTGCTGAAAAGCTTGTGAGGCAGGTTCCCCCTATAACCATACTGGACAAGAAAGATGGAGAGCAAGCAAAGGCCTTATTTGAAAAAGTCCGGAAATTTCGCGCCCATGTGGAAGACGGTGACTTGATTTACAGGCTGTATGCCATTCAGACAGTTATCAAAACAGTCAAGTTCATTTTAATCTTGTGCTACACAATGACTTTTGTTGCCTCTATAGATTTTGACCATGTGTGTGAGCCTGAAATAAAGCATTTGACTGGATATGCAAAGTTCCATTGCACACATAATATGGCTTTCATGTTAAAGAAGCTCCTTGTCAGTTATATTGCTATCATATGTGTTTATGGCATTATCTGTATATACACACTCTTTTGGCTTTTTCGGCGACCACTTAAGGAGTATTCCTTTGAAAAAGTCAGAGAGGAGAGCAGCTTTAGTGACATTCCTGATGTTAAGAATGACTTTGCATTCCTCCTCCACATGGTTGATCAGTACGACCAGCTGTATTCGAAGCGTTTTGGGGTTTTTCTCTCAGAAGTGAGTGAAAACAAACTTCGAGAAATCAGTCTAAACCATGAGTGGACCTTTGAAAAGCTGCGGCAACATGTGACTCGCAATTCTCTAGAAAAGATGGAACTTCATCTTATTATGCTATCTGGAGTGCCGGACGCTGTATTCAATCTCACCGATTTGGAAATTCTTAAACTAGAATTAATCCCAGAGGCCAAGATAACAGCTAAAATCTCACAAATGATACATCTCCAGGAGCTGCACTTCTATCACTGTCCAGCCAAAGTGGAGCACACAGCTTTCATTTTTCTTCGTGATCACCTCCGGTGCCTTCATGTCAAATTCACAGATGTTGCTGAGATTCCTAGCTGGTTGTACTTGTTGAAAAATTTGAGGGAGCTGTACTTGGTTGGCAACCTGAACTCTGAACATAATAAAATGATTGGGCTTGAGTCTCTTAGAGACCTCAGGCATTTAAAGATTCTGCATCTCAAAAGCAACCTCACAAAGATACCAACAAACATAACTGATCTGTCCCCACATCTGATCAAGTTGGCCATTCATAATGATGGAACAAAGCTCTTAGTACTGAACAGTTTGAAGAAAATGATGAATCTTGCTGAGCTGGAGCTTTATAACTGTGAGCTGGAAAGAATTCCCCATGGTATCTTCAGTCTGACCAACCTTCAGGAGCTCGATCTAAAGTCCAACAACATTCGTACCATTGAGGAGGTCATCAGCTTTCAACACCTCAAAAGACTAACATGCCTCAAACTTTGGCACAATAAGATCATCACCATTCCAGTGTCCATTAGTCATGTCAAAAACCTTGAGTTGCTCTGTCTGTCCCACAACAAGCTCGAGTCTTTACCCTCATCATTATTCACCCTCCTCAAGCTGAGGTACCTTGATGTTAGCCATAATGCAATTGTGGTAATTCCACCGGAGGTTGGCTTTCTGCAGAACCTCCAGCATTTTGCCATTACAGGCAACAAAGTTGAGGTGACCCCCAAGCAGCTTTTCAAGTGCACCAAACTGAGGACATTATGTCTTGGCCACAACTGTATCTCCTCCATTCCAGAAAAAATCGGCCAACTCTTGCAGCTCACACATCTAGAACTGAAGGGAAACTGTCTGGATCGTCTGCCGGCTCAGCTCGGTCAGTGCCACCTCCTGCGCAGGAGCTGCCTGATCGTGGAGGATCACCTCTTTGAGTCGCTTCCCATGGAGGTCAAAGAGAGCATCAACCAGGAATCTAATGTTTCTTTTGCCAATGGGTGTAAGTGTCTAAGTGATGGGCGGTAGTCATGTCCTCCATGGCATTAAATGTTGGGCGCTTCATCTTAGTTTTTGATTTACTAGAAACAATTCTGAGTGCAGTTGTGGTACACTTCATGATGTTTTAATAACCACAGTACATACTAGGCCGATACCACTGGAGATAATTTAAATGAACTCTAGAAATGATCATGGTGTGTGTCCTATATTTTTTCATTAGTTAAGTCACTTTCTTATTATTTTTTTTTTTACTTGTCTGCAAGAACTTAGAATTTTGTTTAATTTTAAAATACCCTTCCCTTTTTATCCCAGTGATTTCATTTGATTTTTTTCACTTGTTTAACTTGAATGTAAAGGGCTGATTCACACATATTACATAACTATCTCACATTCATGACTGTATTCAGCAGTGTCGCCAACTTTGATTTTATTATATA